CTCCCCTCCCCTCTGCCTGGTCCTCCCAGGAAGTGGCTGGCACAGAAGAGGGAAGATCTGCAGCTCAGCCCCAGGGGAGGGAGGGGCTGGCACAGCTGTTGCCCCTCAGCTCCTGCCATCCCCCTGCCTCTGTGGGGCACAGCACCTGCCCTGCTGTTGCTCAGCTGAGGGGCTCTGTCCTCCTGGCCCCTTGCCAAGTGCTGGGGCTGGCCCTGAGGCCCTGCCAAGTACAGGCCTGGATGATCCTGGCCTTTGCAGCTGGCTTTGACCATAGCCAAGCTCTCTGGTGTCCCACTCAGTGAAGATGCCTGGGCAGGGGCTGCAGGAAGAGAAAGTCTATTTTCTACCCCAAACTTGTGGAGGGGCCTGAGATCTAGCCTTCAGAGTTACCCGGGTCCAGCCTGAGCTCTGGAGTCTCTCTGGATCCCAGAGAGATCAGATGCAATAGAAGCAGGGGCTTAGGGTAAGGTGACCTATGGAAGGACACTCGAGACCACACTTGGGGATCTTTTTCTGGGTGGGAGACAGAAGGTAGGAACCGAGCCCTCTGGCACAGGGTCTAATGGAAGAACAAATGTGCCGGTGGCCAGTAAAGGTCTTTATTGGTGAGAGATCCAGTCTCCCTGGCTCTGTCAGCGCCTTAGGCCAAAAGGATTTCGATGTCGAGCTCCAGCCGGCTGGCTCTGATCTCATAGTGGCCCTTGATGAGGCCTCGGGTCTGGCTGGTGTGCCAGCGCCAGTGAGCCTGGATGATGCAGGCGGCCTCGCGCACCTGGAGGAAGCGTCTGCGGGCCCGCCACATCCGAACATGTGCCTGCACCTTCACCACTGCCCACTCCTGGCAGGTGTAGAGCCTCAGTGTCAGTCTCCGTCTCTTCTCCAACATCTTGGCCTGTATGGACCTCCACCAGCACTGGATGACCCAGGCCCTGAGCGCCGCGTGCAGTAACGACCGGCGTACTAGGTTGCCACGCCACCATGACTGAATCTTTACGGCTGCCTTCTCTGACTGATTGGGGGAATGAAGAACAAGGAGATGGCTCAGGGGGGCACACTCTCACTCCCAATCCCCACCGCTGGCATTTGAGAGGAAGGGGGCGTAGGTCAGCTGGTCCTGATCTCTCAGCCCTAAGACCCACCCACTAAAAAAAAAAGACCCACCCACTTTTGAGTCCCTCACCTTTAAACTCTGCTCTCTGCCTGTTGGTTGGATCCCTTTACTAGAGGTGTCATTCACAGCTTGTGTGTCCATGGCCTGGGTCTCTAGAGTTTACTCACCCCATCATCTAGGACACCTCAGTCTTAGCCCCACCCTCAACTGTTAACCACAATCTGTCTCATCATTAGACCCCACCCACCAGCACCCCCTCCTCAGATCCTGCCTCTGCACATTTAACCACTCCTTCACTCTGTCTCCTTATGGGCCAACCAACCATGTGATTTATTGATTATGTGGATCATAACAAATTACTGCTAACATTGAGAAGATTGGAAATCCCAGAACACTTAACTGTGCTCCTCATGAGAAACCTAACCTGAGACTAAGAGGCTATTGTGTGAACAGAGCAAGGGAACACTGCATGGTTTAAAATCAGGAAAGGTGTGCATCCAGGTTGTATCCTTTCCCCAAACCTATTTAACCTGTAAGCTGAACAGATTATTCGAGAAGCTGGACTCTGTGAAAAAGAATGTGACATCAGGATTGGGGGAAGACTCATCAATAACCATTATACAGATGATACAACCTTGCATGTTGAAAGTGAGGAAGACTTGAAACACTTGTTAAAGCCTTTCAATGTCAAAACAAAAATCCTGGTCACTGGACAATAGGCAACATCATGATAGAAGGAGAAAAGATTGAAACCATCAACATTTCATCTTACATGGATCTACAATCAATACCCTTGGTACTAGCTGTCTGGAGATCTGGAGTCATTATTGTGCTGGGAAAGCCTGTAGCCAGGGACCTTTCCAAATTTTTGAGGAACAATGGTGTCAGTTTGATGATTAATGGACACCTGATTCATGCCATGGTCTTTTCAGTCACTTACTAAGCATCTGAGAGCTGCACAATGAATAAGGATGACAGAAGAATTATTGATGCCTTTGAACTGTGGTATTGGAAAAGAGTACTGAATTTCGCATGGACTGAGAAAAGAACAAGATATGCTTTGGAGGGTGTGCAGCCAAAGTGCTCCTTATAGGTAAGGATGACAAAGCTTCGTCTCAGCTTGGGCATGTTACTAGGAGAGGTTATTTCTTGGAGAGGGACATCATTCTTGGAAGAGTGGAGGGTGGTGAAGGAGAGGAAGACCCTCCGCCAGGTAGATTGACACAATGAATGTAGCAATGGGCTTGTGTGTGTCAGAGATGATAAGGTTGGCACAGGAGAGAACAGTCTTCAGATCTGTTATTCACAGTGTCGCTGTAAGTCATATACAGCACCTAACAACAACAGCAGTACCTGAGTTGGTTGTAGGTCTGTGAAAGAGAGAGGAAGACCTTAGCAGGGTGGATTGACACAGTGACTGCAGCAATGGCCTTGAGTATGGCGAGGATAGAGATGGCGCACCATCATCATGACCTCCACCATGGTCAAGGCCATTGCTGCTGTCACTGAGCCAGTCCATCTCATTGAGGGTCTTCCTTTCTCTTTCACAGACCGTCTACCCACTTGGGCAGAGGAGTCAATGAATAACATGGTTGGTTGGTTGCTCCATAAAGAGACACAGTTGACTCAACAACATCTAACAACAAAAACATCCTTGAGCAACATGACTGGTTTGCTCTCATCTACACATAACAACAACTAAACCTAAAGGTTGGCAGTTCAACACAGCCTGCAGTGCTAAGGACAGAAGACTCGGTCTTTTCTGCCATAAAGATCACAGCTGAGAAAATCACTTGTAACAGTTCTGTCTACTCTCTGTAATGCTCTGGGATGGACTTGATGGCAAGGAGTTTGGCTTTTACCTTGACTGTCATTTGGAGGAGTTATTTCTTTTCTTTAAAAATTTTATTATTAAAAAATTATTATTTTGTGTGTGTAAACCGTCAAATTGGATTTGATTGGTACAGAAGGACATTGTCCCTCCTTCTCCAGCAGAGAGATGGATTCGAACCATGCACTTCTGGGATGGCAGTGCAACTTTTTGCCACTAGACTACCAGAGCTCCCCTCAGAGGTATTATTTCTTGCCTTAGGTTTATTTCTCTGATGTAATCGATATTTCATGTCTTGCTCTCTTTCTACACAGTCATTTCTATTTCTCCTGGTTGCAAGGAAAATAGATGTGTGCAGTTTTTACCTCAAGTAACAGGCCTTATTGTTATTGAGTACCGTTGAGTTACGACCAACCCTTAGCTGACCCTCTGGTGAGTTTTCAGAGGCTGTTAATCACACAGGAGGAGATTGTCCATCCTTCTCCCAAGGAGCAGCTGATGGCCTCGAACCACGTGCCTTCTGAATTGCAGTGCAGCTTCCTGCCACTAGGCCTCCAAAGCTCCCTTATGTTAAGGGTATTGGTAAACAGTGCAGAGTCTTGGTGGTCTAGTGTACAATCTGCTAACAGAAAGGTGGTAGTTGGGGTCTACCAGCTTCTTCACGGGAGGAGGCTGAGAGGCCTGCTCTTGTAAGGTGTTATGGTCTTGGGAGCCAGATGGAGGGGGACCGTGATTTGGAGTCCAAATTGACAGCAGCGGGTTTGGTGTTTGAGTATCGCCATTGTGAATTTCCCAAAATTTAAATATCTAAGCCCTTGAGAAGGGCTTGCAACACATGTTCAGAAGTTCTTATATTTATTTTGCTTAGCATTTACAAAAGCAAGTTGTTTTAATGACAGTTGAACATGGCTAAGGGGGAGCTGAGCTGAGACAGACTTAGTTTGGGTTTATTGGAATAGATCTGTGGCTTCCAAGTCACTTCTGGGCATAGAGATAGTTTTGTGTGTGTGCATGTGTATATGTTTTTTTTAATTGTTAATTTTAATCATTAATTGTTGAGATACACAGCAAAATATACACCAGTTCATCCATTTCTACATCTGTAATTTGTGGCATTGACTCAACCTTGATGCTGGGTAAACGTTCTCGCTATCTTTATCTAAGTTATTTCTCTGCCATTAACATAAATTCACTTCTCCAAGGTTCCTGTCTAAGCTTCTGAGCTGCTATTGTCATTTAAGTGTGATATAGATAGTACTTGAAAGGACAAAATATTCAAGGAAGGTGTTGTTGTTGTTAATAAAACAATCCATTGGAGGTTGAACTAGTAGTTGGTTCCAGCTTGACACCACATAACAACAACAACATTTGCATTTTTTAAAAAAAATTCTTTTCTATTGGTTTGTCAAGGCAGGTATTTGTAACTATTTAACCTACACTGTTGTTTGGTTTTAAAAAGCTATCAGGGAATATTTGTTTGTTACACTCTTATTAGACATTGTTGCTGGAGAAATTACTCCCAAAACTGCTCCTACCAATTATATATTCACTCACCTGCTGTCTCCACAAGAAGATTTAGAAGCAAAACGGCTTTCATGAAATGAAACAAGTCCCACAGGGCCCACCCCAGAGATATGTGGGCAGGGGAGGGAAAGGCTTCAAGGTGTGGAGCCAGAAGCTAGTAAAAGAAAATTCTTCCTGTTATCAGACCTGTAAAACTATGAATGGAAGTGGATGATTCTATTGACCATGATATCTGATTAAAATTGAAGTTCCCTTTTGTCAGAAAAATAATACTAAAGGAATAGTATAATTATGTTGTTGTTGTTATGTGCCGTTGAGTCATTTGTGACTCATAGCGACCCTATGTACAACAGCCCTAAACCCTGCTCTATCCTGTGCCAATCTCATTGCCTCTGACACACCCATCCCGATTACCCCAGTCACTGAATCAATCCACCTCATAGAGGGTCTTCCCCTCCTGTGCTGTCCCTCTACTCTACCCAGCATGATGTCCCTCTCCAAAGACCTGTCTCTCCTTGCAACATGTCCAAAGTATGTCAGACGAAGCCCCAGAATCTTTGCCTCCAAGGAGTAGCCTGGTTTAACCCTCTCTAGGATGAATTTGTTTGTTTTCTTGGCAGTCCATGGTACATTCAATACTCTTCTCCAGCAACAAAGCTCAAAGACGTCAATTCTCCTTCTGTCCTTCCTAGTCATTGTCCAGCTCTCTGATGCATAACAAGTGATTGCAAAAACCATGGCCTGTATCAGGCACACCTTAGTCTCCAAAGAGACACCGTTGCTCTTGAGTACTTTAGAGAGGTCCCTAACAGCAGACTTTCCCATCACAATACGCTTTTTTATTTCCTGGCTTATGGTGCCAAGAGTGTTGACTGTGGAGCTGAGCAAACTGAAGCTGTAAACAATCTCAATCTTTTCGCCATCCATCCTGATGCTACCAATTGGTCCAGTGGTAAGAATCTTTGTCTTCTTGACATTGAGCCTCAGTCCATACTGAAGGCTGCAGTCCTTGACCCTCTGCAGTAAGTGCATGAGGTCCTCCTCAGTTTCAGCGAGCAAGGTTGTGTCATCTGCATAACGCAGATTGTTGATAGATCTTCCACCAATCCTAATGCCACACGTCTCCTCATAGAGCCCAGCCTCTCGAATAATCTGCTCTGCATACAGTATAATTATAAACACACCATATTGTGCTCCTCTTCAATGGAAATTTTGTTTAACCAGTTTATCAGAATTCCTATAATTGAGGGACCCAAATCTGTAGGCCTGCTATTGCATGTAAGATCTTATGAGAAATTAGATGTCTTTTGCATTCCGAGAGCCAATAATAAAAGCTTCAAAATCTTCATCTGAAAAAGCAGTCCAAGGTTCTGGAGGCTGAATCACAGGAAAGTATGATTGAAGTGTGACAGGCAGTTAATTAACGTAACACTATGTTACATTTCTAGTATCTGTCAACCTTTAAAATGTGCAATTTCTTTTTCTCAGCCTAAA